AGTAATGAGTTGTAGATTAGTAATTCTTTAAATCAAAATGTAATGTGTATTATTTAATAATACGCTTCCAGGCCGCACTAAGCCTGTAGCTGTCAGAGCGATTAAAGTTATTCTTGTTCCTCTCAATTTCAATGGATTCTCTAATAAGTCCTTGCCAGTAATAATTAGTTTTACACACCACTGCAACATTGTCAAAATCAATTGAGTGTCCTTGTTGACAAGCATGTTCTGCCACTGCCGACAGTTGTGTTTGAGATAATTTAATATTTCTCTGATGTTCTTTTAGTCTTACGCTGATGTTACGTCCCGTCTGCCCAATGTAGCAGCTGCCACATGAACAATTAATCCGATATACACCTTCTGTTGTACGTGTTATGTTTATCGTTTATTGTTGAATTTGAATCACAGTTCCTATGATCACTGTTACATTGCTTTTATCGCTTCATTTTGGTGATTTTGTAGACGTTTTGGTTGAGCCATATTTGTTTGTAGTGGTACAGAGTTAGCCTGATAACTTTAATCTAAATTGTCTCATGGTTTGTTATTGTTTGGCTTGCATCCCACTGGGAGTTGTGCACGCAGCGTTGACATGCGGTCTTTTATTTTCTTTCTGGAAGACTTTGCCGTCTCTTTAAGATGTTTATTTGTTCATGTTCTTGTTTGTTGCGATTGCACCGGAGCCAAGAGCCGCTTGGCTCACGGGGTTATTATTATTGTTGTTTATATAATAGGGAAAGTCGCGATTGTGTGACTGTTCAACATGTTTAGCGTACTTCCCGACATGCAACAAACTGGAAATTTGCCATGTGGGTAGCTTCCAGACTGGACACCGTGATGCAAGTATAACAATGACGTCACACCGCTGTCATGTCACCCGCATGCGGCAGCGTCACGCAGTGTGCCTGCTGACCAAGCCCTCCACGTAGGCCGTGTGGCTGGGGGGGGGGGTTAATGGCTAAATGAGCCACGTGGCGAGCTCCCAGACTGTACACAAAGTACAACTTGTAGAATAAATATATTTATAAAATATACTTTTGCATTGGGGGGGGGGATGAAATGTAGCGGCGTCAACCCGCAAACTCACCGCATGTCACTAATACATTAAACTGAAACGTTCACAAATGTCCCTTTGATGTACAGTATATAGATACAAATACAATAATATACATTCAACTGTGACGTCACGGCCACTGAGTGGTGACGTCACGGCCACTGAGTCGTTGAGTGGCAGGTGACGTCATTTATCTGCCCCGTGCGTTTTTTTTTGGACCCGCTGGTTGATGACGTCATCAACCGGGCGTTCTCGCGGCGGAGCTCTGACGTCATCGTCGTCTCCAGTGGAGGACTCCGCTGCTGTTGTGTTGTGGTGTTGTAGAACATGCTTACAACATACAGACTAGTAGAACATGCTTACAACAGACTAGTTACTAGTAGAACATGCTTACAACATACAGACTAGTAGAACATGCTTACAACAGACTAGTTACTAGTAGAACATGCTTACAACATACAGACTAGTGGAACATGCTTACAACAGACTAGTTACTAGTAGAACATGCTTACAACAGACTAGTTACTAGTAGAACATGCTTACAACAGACTAGTTACTAGTAGAACATGCTTACAACATACAGACTAGTATAACATGCTTACAACAGACTAGCTGCTAGTAGAACATGCTTACAACAGACTAGTTACTAGTAGAACATGCTTACAACATACAGACTAGTAGAACATGCTTACAACAGACTAGCTGCTAGTAGAACATGCTTACAACAGACTAGTTACTAGTAGAACATGCTTACAACATACAGACTAGTGGAACATGCTTACAACAGACTAGTTACTAGTAGAACATGCTTACAACAGACTAGTTACTAGTAGAACATGCTTACAACATACAGACTAGTAGAACATGCTTACAACAGACTAGTTACTAGTAGAACATGCTTACAACATACAGACTAGTAGAACATGCTTACAACGGACTAGTTACTAGTAGAACATGCTTACAACATACAGACTAGTAGAACATGCTTACAACAGACTAGCTGCTAGTAGAACATGCTTACAACAGACTAGTTACTAGTAGAACATGCTTACAACATACAGACTAGTGGAACATGCTTACAACAGACTAGTTACTAGTAGAACATGCTTACAACAGACTAGTTACTAGTAGAACATGCTTACAACATACAGACTAGTAGAACATGCTTACAACAGACTAGTTACTAGTAGAACATGCTTACAACAGACTAGTTACTAGTAGAACATGCTTACAACAGACTAGTTACTAGTAGAACATGCTTACAACAGACTAGTTACTAGTAGAACATGCTTACAACATACAGACTAGTAGAACATGCTTACAACAGACTAGTTACTAGTAGAACATGCTTACAACATACAGACTAGTAGAACATGCTTACAACAGACTAGCTGCTAGTAGAACATGCTTACAACAGACTAGCTGCTAGTAGAACATGCTTACAACAGACTAGTTACTAGTAGAACATGCTTACAACTTACAGACTAGTAGAACATGCTTACAACAGACTAGCTGCTAGTAGAACATGCTTACAACAGACTAGCTGCTAGTAGAACATGCTTACAACAGACTAGTTACTAGTAGAACATGCTTACAACATACAGACTAGTAGAACATGCTTACAACAGACTAGCTGCTAGTAGAACATGCTTACAACAGACTAGTTACTAGTAGAACATGCTTACAACATACAGACTAGTGGAACATGCTTACAACAGACTAGTTACTAGTAGAACATGCTTACAACAGACTAGTTACTAGTAGAACATGCTTACAACATACAGACTAGTAGAACATGCTTACAACAGACTAGTTACTAGTAGAACATGCTTACAACATACAGACTAGTAGAACATGCTTACAACAGACTAGCTGCTAGTAGAACATGCTTACAACAGACTAGCTGCTAGTAGAACATGCTTACAACAGACTAGTTACTAGTAGAACATGCTTACAACATACAGACTAGTAGAACATGCTTACAACAGACTAGCTGCTAGTAGAACATGCTTACAACAGACTAGTTACTAGTAGAACATGCTTACAACATACAGACTAGTAGAACATGCTTACAACAGACTAGCTGCTAGTAGAACATGCTTACAACAGACTAGTTACTAGTAGAACATGCTTACAACATACAGACTAGTGGAACATGCTTACAACAGACTAGTTACTAGTAGAACATGCTTACAACAGACTAGTTACTAGTAGAACATGCTTACAACATACAGACTAGTAGAACATGCTTACAACAGACTAGTTACTAGTAGAACATGCTTACAACATACAGACTAGTAGAACATGCTTACAACAGACTAGTTACTAGTAGAACATGCTTACAACATACAGACTAGTAGAACATGCTTACAACAGACTAGCTGCTAGTAGAACATGCTTACAACAGACTAGTTACTAGTAGAACATGCTTACAACATACAGACTAGTAGAACATGCTTACAACAGACTAGCTGCTAGTAGAACATGCTTACAACAGACTAGTTACTAGTAGAACATGCTTACAACATACAGACTAGTGGAACATGCTTACAACAGACTAGTTACTAGTAGAACATGCTTACAACAGACTAGTTACTAGTAGAACATGCTTACAACATACAGACTAGTAGAACATGCTTACAACAGACTAGTTACTAGTAGAACATGCTTACAACATACAGACTAGTAGAACATGCTTACAACAGACTAGTTACTAGTAGAACATGCTTACAACATACAGACTAGTAGAACATGCTTACAACAGACTAGCTGCTAGTAGAACATGCTTACAACAGACTAGCTGCTAGTAGAACATGCTTACAACAGACTAGTTACTAGTAGAACATGCTTACAACATACAGACTAGTAGAACATGCTTACAACAGACTAGCTGCTAGTAGAACATGCTTACAACAGACTAGCTGCTAGTAGAACATGCTTACAACAGACTAGTTACTAGTAGAACATGCTTACAACATACAGACTAGTAGAACATGCTTACAACAGACTAGCTGCTAGTAGAACATGCTTACAACAGACTAGTTACTAGTAGAACATGCTTACAACATACAGACTAGTAGAACATGCTTACAACAGACTAGCTGCTAGTAGAACATGCTTACAACAGACTAGTTACTAGTAGAACATGCTTACAACATACAGACTAGTGGAACATGCTTACAACAGACTAGTTACTAGTAGAACATGCTTACAACAGACTAGTTACTAGTAGAACATGCTTACAACATACAGACTAGTAGAACATGCTTACAACAGACTAGTTACTAGTAGAACATGCTTACAACATACAGACTAGTAGAACATGCTTACAACAGACTAGTTACTAGTAGAACATGCTTACAACATACAGACTAGTAGAACATGCTTACAACAGACTAGCTGCTAGTAGAACATGCTTACAACAGACTAGCTGCTAGTAGAACATGCTTACAACAGACTAGTTACTAGTAGAACATGCTTACAACATACAGACTAGTAGAACATGCTTACAACAGACTAGCTGCTAGTAGAACATGCTTACAACAGACTAGCTGCTAGTAGAACATGCTTACAACAGACTAGTTACTAGTAGAACATGCTTACAACATACAGACTAGTAGAACATGCTTACAACAGACTAGCTGCTAGTAGAACATGCTTACAACAGACTAGCTGCTAGTAGAACATGCTTACAACAGACTAGTTACTAGTAGAACATGCTTACAACATACAGACTAGTAGAACATGCTTACAACAGACTAGCTGCTAGTAGAACATGCTTACAACAGACTAGCTGCTAGTAGAACATGCTTACAACAGACTAGTTACTAGTAGAACATGCTTACAACATACAGACTAGTAGAACATGCTTACAACATCGCCCCTCCCCCCCGCCGCTTTCGCCCCTCCCCCTTTCGCCCCTCCCCCTCTCGCCCCTCCCCCTCCCCGCGTCTCTCCCCACGAGATGACGTCACCGCCGGCTGCCTCTCCCGGTGAGTTTGGCTGGGGAAGGCCCGTGGTCCGAAACGTCGTGTAAGGTGTGTGTGGGGTGGGGTGGTGTATGGGATTGGGGGGCCGCTAGCCGACTGCGGCGTGGAGCCGCTGCGAGAGAGACAAAGGCGGCCGGGCGAGCGCGGCGCCGCCGGCCTTACCCAGAGGCCTCCCCCTCGCTGCTGCTGCTGCTGACTGCTGACTGCTGCTGACTGCTGACTGACTGCTGCTGACTGCTGCTGACTGACTGCTGACTGCTGCTGACTGCTGACTGACTGCTGCTGACTGCTATTGTTGCTGACTGCTGCTGACTGCTGACTGACTGCTGCTGACTGCTGTTGTTGCTGACTGCTGACTGCTGCTGACTGCTGACTGACTGCTGCTGACTGCTATTGTTGCTGACTGCTGCTGACTGCTGACTGACTGCTGCTGACTGCTGTTGTTGCTGACTGCTGCTGACTGCTGCTGACTGCTGCTGCTGACTGCTGTTGCTGCTGACTGCTGCTGTTGCTGTTGCTGACTGACTGCTGCTGACTGCTGCTGTTGTTGCTGCTGCTGACTGCTGCTGACTGTTGCTGCCTGCTGCTGCTGACTGCTGTTGTTGCTGCTGCTGCTGCTGACTGCTGCTGCTGCTGACTGCTGCTGACTGTTGCTGCCTGCTGCTGACTGCTGACTGACTGCTGCTGACTGACTGCTGCTGACTGCTGACTGCTGCTGACTGCTGCTGTTGTTGCTGACTGCTGACTGCTGCTGACTGCTGCTGCTGCTGACTGCTGACTGCTGCTGACTGCTGCTGTTGTTGCTGACTGCTGACTGACTGCTGCTGACTGCTGACTGCTGCTGACTGCTGACTGCTGCTGACTGCTGCTGCTGACTGACTGCTGTTGTTGCTGACTGCTGCTGCTGACTGCTGACTGCTGCTGACTGCTGCTGTTGTTGCTGACTGACTGCTGACTGCTGCTGACTGCTGACTGCTGCTGACTGACTGCTGTTGTTGCTGACTGCTGCTGCTGACTGCTGACTGCTGCTGACTGCTGACTGCTGCTGACTGCTGCTGCTGACTGCTGCTGACTGCTGACTGACTGCTGCTGACTGCTGCTGACTGACTGACTGACTGCTGCTGCTGACTGCTGCTGCTGCTGACTGACTGACTGACTGCTGCTGCTGACTGCTGCTGACTGCTGCTGACTGCTGCTGCTGCTGCTGACTGACTGACTGACTGCTGCTGCTGACTGCTGCTGACTGACTGCTGACTGCTGCTGCTGACTGCTGACTGCTGCTGACTGCTGCTGCTGACTGCTGACTGCTGCTGACTGCTGACTGACTGACTGCTGCTGCTGCTGTTGTTGCTGCTGCTGACTGCTGACTGCTGCTGACTGCTGACTGACTGACTGCTGTTGTTGCTGCTGCTGACTGCTGTTGTTGCTGACTGCTGCTGCTGACTGCTGCTGCTGCTGTTGTTGCTGCTGCTGACTGCTGCTGCTGACTGCTGACTGCTGCTGTTGTTGCTGCTGCTGACTGCTGCTGCTGCTGACTGCTGCTGACTGACTGATGCTGACTGCTGTTGCTGCTGACTGACTGATGCTGACTGCTGCTGCTGCTGACTGCTGCTGACTGTTGCTGCTGACTGCTGCTGACTGACTGATGCTGACTGCTGTTGCTGCTGACTGCTGCTGCTGACTGACTGCTGCTGCTGACTGACTGCTGCTGCTGACTGCTGTTGCTGCTGACTGCTGCTGCTGCTGACTGCTGTTGTTGCTGACTGCTGCTGCTGACTGCTGACTGACTGCTGACTGCTGCTGACTGTTGCTGCTGACTGACTGCTGCTGCTGCTGACTGCTGCTGACTGACTGCTGCTGCTGCTGACTGCTGCTGCTGCTGCTGCTGACTGACTGCTGACTGCTGCTGCTGACTGCTGACTGACTGCTGCTGCTGACTGCTGACTGACTGCTGCTGCTGGCTGCTGACTGACTGCTGACTGACTGCTGCTGACTGACTGCTGCTGACTGCTGCTGCTGACTGCTGCTGACTGACTGACTGCTGACTGCTGCTTACTGCTGCTGACTGACTGCTGCTGCTGACTGCTGCTGTTGCTTACTGCTGCTGTTGCTGCTTCTGCACTTGCCCCAGCAGCTTGTGGCAGGCTACCGTGGGGAGCTTTGTCTTTGTGTGGTGTCGTTGTGTATAGTGTAGTGTATAGTGTAGTGTATAGTGTATAGTGTAGTGTATAGTGTAGTGTATAGTAGTGTATAGTGTAGTGTATAGTGTAGTGTATAGTAGTGTATAGTGTAGTGTATAGTAGTATACAGTGTAGTGTATAGTAGTGTATAGTGTAGTGTATAGTGTAGTGTATAGTAGTGTATAGTGTAGTGTGTAGTGTAGTTGTGTATAGTGTAGTGTAGTAGTGTATAGTGTAGTGTATAGTGTAGTATACAGTGTAGTGTAGTAGTGTAGTGTATAGTGTAGTATACAGTGTAGTGTATAGTAGTGTATAGCGTAGTGTATAGTAGTGTAGTGTATAGTGTAGTGGTATACCGTGTAGTGTAGTAGTGTATAGTGTAGTAGTGTATAGTGTAGTAGTGTATAGTGTAGTGTAGTAGTGTATAGTGTAGTAGTGTATAGTGTAGTAGTGTATAGTGTAGTAGTGTGTAGTGTAGTAGTGTATAGTGTAGTAGTGTATAGTGTAGTGTATAGTAGTGTATGGTGTAGTGTATAGTAGTGTATAGTGTAGTAGTGTATAGTGTAGTAGTGTATAGTGTAGTGTATAGTAGTGCATAGTGTAGTGTATAGTAGTGCATAGTGTAGTAGTGTATAGTGTAGTGTATAGTAGTATACAGTGTAGTGTATAGTAGTGTATAGTGTAGTGTATAGTAGTATAGTGTAGTAGTGTATAGTGTAGTGTATAGTGTAGTAGTGTATAGTGTAGTGTATAGTGTAGTAGTGTATAGTGTAGTAGTGTATAGTGTAGTAGTGTATAGTGTAGTGTATAGTGTAGTGTAGTATATAGTGTAGTATACAGTGTAGTGTATAGTCTAGTAGTGTATAGTAGTGTATAGTGTAGTAGTGTATAGTGTAGTGTATAGTGTAGTGTATAGTGTAGTGTGTAGTGTAGTGTATAGTGTAGTGTATAGTGAATAGTAGTGTATAGTGTAGTAGTGTATAGTGTAGTGTATAGTGTGGTAGTGTATAGTGTAGTGTATAGTGTAGTGTATAGTGTTGTGTAGTGTATCGTGTAGTAGTGTATAGTGTATAGTAGTGTGTAGTGTAGTGCATAGTAGTGTATAGTGTAGTGTATAGTGTAGTGTATAGTAGTGTGTAGTGTAGTGTTGTGTATAGTGTAGTAGTGTAGTGTTGTGTATAGTGTAGTAGTGTAGTGTAGTAGTGTAGTGTATAGTGTAGTGTATAGTAGTGTGTAGTGTATAAGTGTGTGTGTGTTGTTCTGGGCCTCATCTGCCTGCTGCTGTGTGTACTCAGCTGCTGCTGTGTGTACTCAGCTGCTGCTGTGTGTACTCAGCTGCTGCTGTGTGTACTCAGCTGGTATCTGCCTGCTGCTGTGTGTACTCAGCTGCTGCTGTGTGTACTCAGCTTCTGTGTGTACTCAGCTGCTGCTGTGTGTACTCAGCTTCTGTGTGTACTCAGCTGCTGCTGTGTGTACTCAGCTGGTATCTGCCTGCTGCTGTGTGTACACAGCTGCTGCTGTGTGTACTCAGCTGCTGCTGTGTGTACTCAGCTGCTGCTGTGTGTACTCAGCTGCTGGCTGGCAGTGCTCCCAGTCTTCATAGGCGCTGCTGCTGGTGCTTGCTAACAGCACCTGCCCCAACGCCCTGTGTAGGCTGTACGGGGGAGCTTTGTCTTTGTGTGTGCACCATTCTGTCTCCCCGTGTCACCCCGTGTCTCCCCGTGTCTCTCTGTCCCCAGGTTTTAGTGTCTCCCCGTGTCTCTCTAACCCCCGTGTCTCTCTGCCCCCGTGTCTCCCCGTGTCTCTCCGTGTCTCCTCTCCCCGTGTCTCCCCGTGTCTCCCCGTGTCTCTCTAACCCCCGTGTCTCTCTGTCCCCAGGTTTTAGTGTCTCCCCGTGTCTCCCCGTGTCTCTCTAACCCCCGTGTCTCTCTGCCCCCGTGTCTCCCCGTGTCTCTCTAACCCCCGTGTCTCCCCGTGTCTCCCCGTGTCTCTCTAACCCCCGTGCCTCCCCGTGTCTCCCCGTGTCTCCCCGTGTCTCTCTAACCCCCGTGTCTCTCTGCCCCCGTGTCTCCCCGTGTCTCCCCGTGTCTCTCTAACCCCCGTGTCTCTCTGTCCCCAAGTTTCCGTGTCTCCCCGTGTCTCCCCGTGTCTCCCCGTGTCTCTCTAACCCCCGTGTCTCCCCGTGTCTCCCCGTGTCTCTCTAACCCCCGTGTCTCTCTGCCCCCGTGTCTCCCCGTGTCTCCCCGTGTCTCCCCGTGTCTCTCTAACCCCCGTGTCTCTCTGCCCCCGTGTCTCCCCGTGTCTCCCCGTGTCTCTCTAACCCCCGTGTCTCTCTGCCCCCGTGTCTCCCCGTGTCTCTCTAACCCCCGTGCCTCCCCGTGTCTCCCCGTGTCTCCCCGTGTCTCTCTAACCCCCGTGTCTCTCTGCCCCCGTGTCTCCCCGTGTCTCCCCGTGTCTCTCTAACCCCCGTGTCTCTCTGTCCCAGGTTTCCGTGTCTCCCCGTGTCTCCCCGTGTCTCTCTATCCCCCGTGTCTCCCCGTGTCTCCCCGTGTCTCTCTAACCCCCGTGTCTCTCTGCCCCCGTGTCTCACTGTGTCTCCCCGTGTCTCCCCGTGTCTCTCTAACCCCCGTGTCTCTCTGCCCCCGTGTCTCCCCGTGGCTCCCCGTGTCTCTCTAACCCCCGTGTCTCCCCGTGTCTCCCCGTGTCTCCCCGTGTCTCTCTAACCCCCGTGTCTCCCCGTGTCTCTCTAACCCCCGTGTCTCCCCGTGTCTCTCTAACCCCCGTGTCTCCCCGTGTCTCCCCGTGTCTCTCTAACCCCCGTGTCTCTCTGCCCCCAGGCTTCAATGTCTCCGCGCGCGTCTCGTCCGCTGTCCCCGCGGGAGACGCGGATCAAGCGGTGCGGGTGGCACGCACACAGAGACACGGGGCACTGTTCCTGGCACAGCGCCGCCTCTACAGCGTCCCCACGGAGATCACTCACGGCGACAGCCTTGAGAGCGTGGAGACGCTGACGCTACGCATGAACCTGCTGTCCCAGCTGGTACGGGGACACGGGGACACAGAGACACGGGGACAGAGACACGGGGACACAGAGACACGGCGACAGCCTTGAGAGCGTGGAGACGCTGACGCTACGCATGAACCTGCTGTCCCAGCTGGTACGGGGACAGAGACACGGGGACACGGGGAGACACGGGGACACAGAGACACGGGGACACAGAGACACGGGGACACAGAGACACGGGGACACAGAGACACGGGGACAGCCTTGAGAGCGTGGAGACGCTGACGCTACGCATGAACCTGCTGTCCCAGCTGGTACGGGGACACGGGGACACAGAGACACGGGGACACAGACACGGGGACACAGAGACACGGGGACAGAGAGACACGGGGACACAGAGACACAGAGACACGGGGAGACACGGGGACACAGAGACACGGGGACAGCCTTGAGAGCGTGGAGACGCTGACGCTACGCATGAACCTGCTGTCCCAGCTGGTACGGGGACACGGGGACACAGAGACACGGGGACACAGAGACACGGGGACACAGAGACACGGGGACAGAGACACGGGGACAGAGACACGGGGACACAGAGACACGGGGACAGCCTTGAGAGCGTGGAGACGCTGACGCTACACATGAACCTGCTGTCTCAGCTGGTACGGGGACACGGGGACAGAGACACGGGGACAGAGACACGGGGACAGAGACACGGGGACACAGAGACACGGGGACAAAGAGACACGGGGACACAGAGACACGGGGACACAGAGACACGGGGACACAGAGACACGGGGACATAGAGACACGGGGACAGAGACACGGGGACAGAGACACAGAGACATGGGGCCTCGGGGACACGGGGACACAGAGACACGGGGACACAGAGACACGGGGACACAGGGACACAGAGACACAGAGACACAGGGACACAGAGACACAGAGACACAGAGACACGGGGACACAGAGACACAGAGACACGGGGACACAGAGACACAGGGACACAGGGACACAGAGACACAGAGACACGGGGACATGGGGACACAGAGACACGGGGACACAGAGACACAGAGACATGAGGACACGAAGACACGGGGATAGAGCCATGGGGACAGACACGGGGACACGGGGACACGGGGACAGAGACACGGGGACACAGAGACACGGGGACAGACATGGGGACAGACACGGCAACACGGGGACACAGAGACACAGAGACACGGGGACACAGAGACACGGGGACACAGAGACACGGGGACACGGGGACACAGAGACACGGGGACACAGAGACACGGGGACACAGGGACACAGAGACACAGAGACACTGGGAAACAGAGACAAAGGGACACAGAGACACAGATACACGGGGACACAGAGACACAGAGACACAGAGACACGGGGACACAGAGACACGGGGACACAGAGACACGGGGACACAGAGACACGGGGACACAGAGACACAGAGACACGGGGACACGGAGACACGGGGACACAGAGACACAGAGACACGGGGACACAGAGACACAGAGACACAGAGACACAGGGACACAGAGACACGGGGACACAGAGACACGGGGACACAGAGACACGGGGACACAGAGACACGGGGACACAGAGACACGGGGACACGGGAGGACACTGCGAGAGAGACATGGGGAGACAGAGACACAGGGAGAGAGAATCAGAGACATGGAGAAACATGGATGTGTGTGTGTTGATCTGTGTGTGTGTCTGTGTGTGTTTATCTGTCAGAGCCATTCCCTGTACACCTTGGGGTCCGACAGGGATGTCCTCTGGCTCCCACATTATTTAACATCTATTGTGACCACGTAGTTCGTGAAGCCTTCAATAGCTGTACCGGGGGAATCTCCATATGGTACAGATATAATGGGAGGCTGATCGATGCCCGGGTGCGGTCAAGGAATGGGTCCCTATTGCTCAACCACGTTGTGTATGCCGATGATTTGGTAATAGCTGCTCATTCAGAGGAGGAGTTGGAGACGCTGCTGCTGAGACTGGAGCGTGCCACTTAGAGGTGGGGCCTTACCATCAGCCCCACCAAAACTAAGCACCTGCCTGGGTATTTTGTACCATCGGACACTCCACCCCCACAACTCCCAATCGGTGATGGGGCAGTTGTGGAGAGAGTGGAGAGTTTCCCATACCTGGGCAGTGTGCTTATGACTGGCTCCAGTTTAACAGCAGAGGTCTCACTCCGAATCAGTCGAGCGGCAATATCTTTTCATCGGTTGCGCAACGCTGTGTGGAAGCTACCTGGGCTGTCGCTCCGCACTAAGCTTCAGGTCTTCTCGGCCACGGTCATTCCCTCCCTTCTCTACGCTTGCGAAACGTGGACCCCCTTAATGGAGCATCTTCGCCGGTTGGAAACATTTAGGCTGGCCTGCCTATGATCCATCCTGGGTTTAACCAGGCTGGATTGTGTGAGGAGCTCACAAATCCTTGAAAGATCTGGGAAAGGTCCCATCGGTGAGCTCCTCTGGCAGGCAATGCCGAAACAGCTTCTGTTCGGCCGGATCGAGGGGGCTAAGCGGGCGCGGCACGGGCTAGAGAAGAGATGGAGTGATGTGGTACAGGAGGACGTGGAGCTGAGTGGACTTGCCGATGACTGGTACCAGCGGTGTCAAGATCGGCCTCTGTGGAGGAGGCTCGTGAAGGATGCTACTGGGCAGTTGGAGGCAGTCGCCCTCCAACAACAACGGAGGGCGGAGGAGCAACGCTCACAACAGCGAGCGGAGCGCCGGGTGGCTAAAGCACAGCAGGTTGGCACAGTAGGGGGCACAGGTGGTGCATCAGCCAGTCATCTCAGTCAGTCGACCCGTGGCACCTGGGTCTGCCCCGTGACCTCCTGCCAGCGGGCGTTCGACACTTCACGTGGCCTCAGGGTGCACATAGCCTGGCACAAGCGTCGTGGTGACGTCACCGCCACTTAGTGGCGAATGGCGGTTGTTGTTGTTGTTGTGTATCTGTGTGTGTGTATCTGTGTCTCTCTGTGTCTGTGTTTATTTGTGTGTGTGTGTGTCTGTGTGTTTATCTGTGTGTGTGTCTTTGTGTTTATATGTGTGTGTGTCTGTGTCTCTCTGTGTCTGTGTGTGTCTCTGTGTCTCTCTGTGTCTGTGTGTGTGTATCTCTCTGTGTCCGTGTGTATATCTGTGTCTGTGTGTGTGTCTGTGTGTGTCTCTGTGTATCTGTGTGTGTGTCTGTGTATCAGACTGCCCTACATGTCATTATAACAACAGTGTGGACCACTGGACGGGTTCCGCAGGATTGGAACGATGCCCTGGTGGTCCCCCTCTTTGAGAAGGGGGACCGCACAGACTGTAACAACTACAGGGGCATCACACTCCTCCGTGTGCCGGGAAAGGTCCTGGCAAGGATTATTCAACATCGCCTAGCCAGGCACGCTGAGGAGAGACTTGCGGAGCCCCAATGCGGTTTCAGGAAAGGGCAGTCCTGCACAGATGCCATATTTTCTGTCCGTCTGCTACAGCAGAGGTGTAGGGAATTCCAACAAGACCTACATCTCTGCTTTATTGACCTGGTCAAGGCCTATGATACCATCAGTAGGCCTGGGCTCTGGGTTGTTCTTCGTGCTTTTGGAGTCCCTGACCCTCTGCTCACGATCATTAAGGACCTTCATGATGGTGAGCGGGCCCGGGTAAAACTACGTGGCCGGGAGTCAGAGCCATTCCCTGTACACCTTGGGGTGCGACAGGGATGTCCTCTGGCTCCCACGTTATTTAACATCTATTTTGACCACGTAGTTCGTGAAGCCTTCAATAGCTGTATGGGAGGAATTTCCATCTGTTACAGATACAATGGGAGACTGATCGATGCCCGGTTGCGGTCAAGGGATGGCTCCCTATTGGTCAACCACATTATGTATGCTGATGACCTGGTAATTGTGGCTCACTCAGAGGAGGAGTTGGATGCGCTGCTGCTGAACCTGAAGCTTGCCACTAAGAGATGGGGCCTTACCATCAGCCCCACCAAAACTAAGCACCTGCCAGGGTATATTATACCATCAAACACTCCACCCCCACAACTCCAATTCGGTGTTGGGGCAGTTGTGGAGAGAGTGGAGAGTTTCTCATACCTGGGCAGTGTGCTTATGACCGGCTCCGGTTTGACAGCAGAGGTCTTACTCCGAATCAGTCGAGCGGCAATATCTTTTCATCGGTTGCGTAACGCTGTGTGGAAGCTACCTGGTCTGTCGCTCCACACTAAGCTTCAGGTCTTCTCGGCCATGGTCATTCCCTCCCTTCTCTACGCTTGCGAAACGTGGACCCCCCTAATGGAACATCTTCGCCGGTTAGAAACATTTAGGCTGGCCTGCCTATGATCCATCCTGGGTTCAACCTGCAGGCTGGATTGTGTGAGGAGCTCACAAATCCTTGAAAGATCTGGGCAAGGTCCCATCAGTGAGCTCCTCCGGCAGGCAAGGCATACGGTGGCTGGGTCATGTAGCCCGCATGCCCAGCCACCATATGCCTAAACAGCTTTTATTCGGCCGGATAGAGGGGGCTAAACGGGCGCAGCACGGGCTAGAGAAGAGATGGAGTGATGTGGTACAGGAGGACGTGGAGCTGAGTGGACTTGCCAGTGACCGGTACCAGCGGTGTCAAGATCGGCCTCTGTGGAGGAGGCTCGTGAAGGACGCTACTGGGCAGTTGGAGGCATTCGCCCTCCAACAACAACGGAGGGCGGAGGAGCGACGCTCACAACAACGAGCGGAGCGCCGGGTGGCTAAAGCACAGCAGGTTGGCACAGTAGGGGGCACAGGTGGTGCATCAGCCAGTCATCTCAGTCAGTCGACCCGTGGCACCTGGGTCTGCCCCGTGACCTCCTGCCCGCGGGCGTTCGACACTTCACGTGGCCTCAATGTGCACATGGCCTGGCACAAGCGTCGTGGTGATGTCACCGCCTCCTAGTGGCGAATGGCGGTTGTTGTTGTTGTGTGTCTCTGGGGAGTGATTGAGCGTGTTTAGCGCGCAGCACTGCGAACCCGGCGACCCGAGTTTGATTCCCTCTCACGGCCAACATCAGTGACGGAGAATACCTGAAGCAGGTAACCCGTGCGGGGTGTAAACCATCGGCATTGGGGAGACAGAGGCGGCTGGGTGTGGTGCCGGTCACCATGCACTTGCTCCAGCAGTTGATGTGGGCTACACGGGGGACCTTTGTCTGTGTGTTGCAGCCAGAAAACTTCGGAAAGAATCTCCCAAACTTGGCTGAATTGTAAGAGACACAGAGAGACACACACACTGACACACACACAGAGACACTGACTCAGAGAGACACACACACTGACACACACACAGAGACACACCCACAGACACAGAGAGAGATACACACTGACACACACACACAGACACACCCACAGACACAGAGAGAGATACACACTGACACACACAGAGACACAGACACAGAGAGAGATACACACTGACACACAGACACACACTGACACACAGACCCACACTGACACACACACACACACGCACAGACACAGAGACACACACACTGACACACACACAGAGACACAGACACAGAGAGACACACACACTGACACACACACAGAGACACTGACACAGAGAGACACACACACTGACACACACACAGACACAGACACAGAGAGAGATACACACTGACACACAGACACACACTGACACACACACAGAGACACAGACACAGAGAGACACACACTGACACACACAGAGACACAGACACAGAGAGAGATACACACTGACACACAGACACACACTGACACACACACAGAGACACACCCACAGACACAGAGAGAGATACACACTGACACACACACACAGACACAGAGAGACACACACACTGACACACACACAGAGACACACCCACAGACACAGAGAGACGCACACTGACACACACAGAGACACAGACACACAGACATACACTGACATACAGAGACACACACTGACACACACAGAGACACAGAGAGACACACAGACACACACACAGACACAGAGAGACACAGACACAGAGAGACACACACGCACACTGACACACACACACGCACACAGACACAGAGAGACACACACTGACACACACACACAGACAGAGAGACACACACAGACACACACACACAGTGAGTGTGTCTCACTAAGTGTGACTGACTAAGTGTGACTGACTGAGTGAGTGACTGACTGAATGACTGAGTGACTGACTGAGTGTGACTGACTGAGTGACTAAGTGTGAGTGACTGACTGAGTGACTGACTGAGTGACTGACTGACTGAGTGACTGAGTGAGTGACTGAGTGTGACTGAGTGAGTGACTGGGTGACTGACTGAGTGACTGACTGACTGAGTGACTGAGTGACTGACTGAGTGAATGACTGACTGAGTGAGTGACTGACTGACTGAGTGACTGACTGAGTGAGTGACTGAGTGACTGAGTGACTGACTGAGTGAGTGACTGAATGAGTGACTGACCGAGTGATTGAGTGTGACTGACTGAGTGAGTGTGACTGACTGAGTGACTGAGTGACTGACTGAGTAACTGACTGAGTGACTGACTGAGTGTGACTGAGTGAGTGTAACTGAGTGACTGAGTGAGTTACTGAGTGACTGACTGAGTGACTGAGTGAGTGACTGACTGACTGAGTGAGTGACTGAGTGATTGTGACTGAGTGAGTGTAACTGAGTGAGTGACTGACTGAGTGACTGACTGAGTGACTGACTGAGTGTGAGTGACTGAGTGACTGACTGAGTGACTGGCTGAGTGACTGACTGAGTGTGACTGAGTGAGTGTAATTGACTGACTGAGTGAGTGACTGACTGACTGAGTGACTAAGTGTCTGAGTGACTGAGTGATTGTGACTGAGTGAGTGTAACTGACTGAGTGAGTGACTGAGTGACTGATTGAGTTACTGACTGAGTGAGTTACTGAGTGACTGACTGAGTGAGTGAGTTACTGACTGAGTGTGAGTGACTGAGTGACTGACTGATTGACTGGCTGAGTGACTGACTGAGTGTGACTGAGTGAGTGTAATTGACTGACTGAATGAGTGACTGAGTGAGTGACTGAGTGAGTGAGTGACTGACTGAGTGTAACTGACTGAGTGAGTGACTGAGTGACTGACTGAGTGACTAAGTGGCTGAGTGGCTGAGTGTAACTGACTGAGTGACTGAGTGACTGACTGAGTGACTGAGTGTGAGTGACTGAGTGAGTGACTGAGTGACTGACTGAGTGTGACTGAGTGAGTGTAATTGACTGACTGAGTGAGTGACTGGCTGAGTGACTGACTGAGTGTGACTGAGTGAGTGTAATTGACTGACTGAGTGAGTGACTGAGTGAGTGACTGACTGAGTGACTTGACTGACTGACTGAGTGACTGACTGACTGAGTGAGTGAGTGACTGAGTGTAACTGACTGAGTCAGTGACTGAGTGACTGACTGAGTGACTAAGTGGCTGAGTGGCTGAGTGTAACTGACTGAGTGAGTGACTGAGTGACTGACTGAGTGACTTACTGACTGAGTGACTGACTGAGTGACTGACTGACTGAGTGACTGAGTGTAACTGACTGAGTGAGTGACTGAGTGACTGACTGAGTGTAACTGACTGAGTGAGTGACTGAGTGACTGACTGAGTGACTAAGTGGCTGAGTGGCTGAGTGTAACTGACTGAGTGACTGAGTGACTGACTGAGTGACTGACTGACTGAGTGTGACTGAGTGAGTGTAACTGACTGATTGAGTGACTGAGTGACTAAGTGGCTGAGTGACTGAGTGTAACTGACTGAGTGACTGACTGAGTGTAACTGACTGAGTGAGTGACTGAGTGACCTTCACAGTGTGAGAGTGGAGTTTATATCCCTCCCCCTCTCCTGCAGTGGGTTTGCTCCTCACATAGCTCAACTCCCACACGCTGTGGAACTGCCATTGAGCCGGAGCCACATTCCCACAGCAGCAGCGTCGCTACCGCCCCGGCTGTGAGCCACGCCTGGCAGGACCCTCCTGGAAAGGAGCCTTGAGACTCTGAGAGGTCACTGCCTGGCTGGCTGGGCACGACCCGACTCCTGACTGATGCTGTTTCCATTCCCTCCACAGATACCTCCACTCCAACAACCTGCTGACCCTCCCCAATGGTGAGCGGGTGGGTGGGGTGAGTGGGTGGGGTGAGTGGGTGGGGTGAGTGGGTGGGTGGGGTGAGTGGGTGGAGTGGGGTGGGTGAGTGGGTGGGGTGAGTGGGTGGGGTGAGTGGGTGGGTGGGGTGAGTGGGTGGGGTGGGGTGAGTGGGTGGGGTGAGTGGGTGGGGTGGGGTGGGTGGGTGGGTGAGTTGGTGAGTGAGGTGGGTGGGTGGTTGAGTTGGTGGGTGGGTGAGTTGGTGGGTGGGTGGGTGGTTGGGGGGTGAGTGGGTGGGTGGGTGAGTTGGTGAGTGGGTGGGTGAGTGGGTGATCGGGTGGGAGAGGTGGGTGGGTGAGTGGGTGGGTGAGTTGGTGAGTGGGTGGGGGAGTGGGTGGGTGAGTGGGTGGGTGGGTGGGTGAGTTGGTGAGTGAGGTGGGTGGGTGGTTGAGTTGGTGGGTGGGTGAGTTGGTGGGTGGGTGGGTGGTTGGGTGGTGAGTGGGTTGGTGGGTGAGTTGGTGAGTGGGTGGGTGAGTTGGTGATCGGGTGGGAGAGGTGGGTGGGTGAGTGGGTGGGTGAGTTGGTGAGTGGGTGGGTGAGTGGGTGGGTGAGTGGGTGGGTGGGTGGGTGAATGGGTGGGTGAGTGGGTGAGTGGGTGGGTGAGTGGGTGGGTGAGTGAGTGAGTGGGTGGGTGAGTTGGTGAGTTGGTGAGTGGGTGGGTGAGTAGGTGGGTGAGTGGGTGGTTGAGTTGATGAGTTGGTGATCGGGTGGGTGAGGTGGGTGGGTGAGTGGGTGGGTGAGTTGGTGAGTGGGTGGGTGAGTGGGTGGGTGAATGGGTGAGTGGGTGGGTGAGTGGGTGGGTAAGTGAGTGGTTGGGTGAGTTGGTGAGTGGGTGGGTGAGTGGGTGGGTGAGTGGGTGGGTGGGTGGGTGAGTGGGTGGGTGAGTGGGTGGGTGAGTGGGTGGTTGAGTTGATGAGTTGGTGAGTGGGTGGGTGAGTGGGTGAGTGGGTGGGTGAATGGGTGGGTGAGTGGGTAGGTGAGTGGGTGGGTGAGTGGGTGGGTGAATGGGTGGGTGAGTGGGTGGTTGAGTTGATGAGTTGGTGAGTGGGTGAGTGGGTGGGTGAGTGGGTGGCTGAGTGGGTGGGTGAGTGGGTGGGTGAGAGGGTGGGTGAGTGGGTGGGTGAGTGGATGAGTGGGTGGGTGAGTTGATGAGTTGGTGAGTGGGTGGGTGAGTGGGTGGGTGAATGGGTGGGTGAGTGGGTGGGTGAGTGGGTGGGTGAATGGGTGGGTGAGTGGGTGGGTGAGTGGGTGGGTGAGTGAGTGGGTGGGTGAGTTGGTGAGTTGTTGGGTGAGTGGGTTGGAGGGTGGGTGAGTTGGTGAGTGGGTGGGTGAGTTGGTGAGTAGGTGGGTGAGCTGGTGAGTGGGTGGGTGAGTTGGTGAATTGGTGAGTGAGTGGGTGAATGGGTGGGTGAGTGGGTAGGTGAATGGGTGGGTGAGTGGGTGGGTGAGTGGGTGAGTGGGTGGGTGAGTTGTTGGGTGGGTGAGTTGGTGGGTGAGTGGGTAGGTGAGTGACCTCGTAACCCCGTGACCCAGCCCTAGGCTCCCTGCCATGTCTACGCGTGCTGGACGTGAGTGGGAACCGCCTCACCTCGCTCCCCACCTCCCTGGGGCAACTCAGTTCCCTCACCACACTGCGCCTCACCCACAACCACCTGCAGCAGCTCCCCACCAGTGAGTGACTCGCTACCCACCCATCCACTCACCCACTCACCCACTCACACACTCAGTCACTCACTCATTCAGTCACCCACCCACTTAGTCACTTAGTCACTCACCCACTCACCCACCCACACACCCACTCACCCACTCACCCACTCACTCAGTCACTCACTCACTCACCCACTCACTCACTCACTCACCCACTCACCCTCTCTCCCCCATTTTTCATCCCCCGTGTCCCTCCCCGTGTGTCCCCCCATGTCTCTCTGTCTCTCCCCGTGTCTCCCCGTGTCTCTCTGTCTCTCCCCGTGTCTCTCTGTCTCTCCCCGTGTCCCTCCCCGTGTCTCCCCGTGTCTCTCTGTCTCTCCCCGTGTCCCTCCCCGTGTCTCTCCCGTGTCTCCCCGTGTCCCTCCCCGTGTCTCCCCGTGTCTCCCTTCCCGTGTCTCCCCGTGTCCCTCCCCGTGTCTCCCCGTGTCTCCCTTCCCGTGTCTCCCTCCCCGTGTCTCCCCGTGTCTCCCCGTGTCTCCCCGTGTCTCTCCCGTGTTTCCCCGTGTCTCCCCGTGTCTCCCCGTGTCTCCCTTCCCGTGTCTCCCTTCCCGTGTCTCCCCGTGTCTCCCCGTGTCTCCCTTCCCGTGTCTCCCTTCCCGTGTCTCTCCCCGTGTCTCCCTTCCCGTGTCTCCCCGTGTCTCCCTTCCCGTGTCTCCCTTCCCGTGTCTCTCCCCGTGTCTCCCCGTGTCTCCCTTCCCGTGTCTCTCCCCGTGTCTCCCCCCGTGTCTCCCCGTGTCTCCCCGTGTCTCCCCGTGTCTCCCTTCCCGTGTCTCCCCGTGTCTCCCTGTGTCCCTCCCCGTGTCTCCCCGTGTCTCCCCGTGTCTCCCTTCCCGTGTCTCCCTTCCCGTGTCTCCCTTCCCGTGTCTCCCCGTGTCTCCCCGTGTCTCCCCGTGTCCCTCCCCGTGTCTCCCCGTGTCTCCCCGTGTCCCTCCCCGTGTCTCCCTTCCCGTGTCTCCCTTCCCGTGTCTCCCCGTGTCTCTCCCCGTATCTCCCCGTGTCTCCCTGTGTCTCCCCGTGTCTCCCTTCCCGTGTCTCTCCCCGTGTCTCCCCGTGTCTCCCTTCCCGTGTCTCCCTTCCCGTGTCTCCCCGTGTCTCCCTGTGTCTCCCTGTGTCTCCCTTCCCGTGTCTCTCCCCGTGTCTCCCCGTGTCTCCCCGTGTCTCCCTTCCCGTGTCTCCCTTCCCGTGTCTCCCCGTGTCTCTCCCCGTGTCTCCCCGTGTCCCTCCCCGTGTCCCTCCCCGTGTCTCCCCGTCTCTCCCCCTCTCCCCCGTCCCTCCCCGTGTCTCCCCGCGTCTCCCTGTGTCTCCCCGTGTCTCCCCGTCTCTCCCCCTCTCCCCCGTGTCTCTCCCCCTCTCCCCCTCTCCCCCGTGTCTCCCTTCCCGTGTCTCCCCGTGTCTCCCTCCCCGTGTCTCCCCGTGTCTCCCCGTGTCTCCCCCTCTCCCCCGTGTCTCTCCCCGTGTCTCCCCGTGTCTCCCCGTGTCTCCCCGTGTCTCCCTCCCCGTGTCTTCCCGTGTCTCTCCCCGGTGTCTCTCCCCCTCTCCCCCGTGTCTCCCCGTGTCTCCCCGTGTCTCCCCCTCTCCCCCGTGTCTCTCCTCGTGTCTCCCCGTGTCTCCCCGTGTCTCCCTCCCCGTGTCTTCCCGTGTCTCTCCCCCGTGTCTCTCCCCCTCTCCCCGTGTCTCCCCGTGTCTCTCCCCGTGTCTCCCCCTCTCCCCGTGTCCCTCCCCGTGTCTCCCCGTGTCTCCCTTCCCGTGTCTCTCCCTGTGTCTCCCCGTGTCTCCCCGTGTCTCCCCGTGTCTCCCTTCCCGTGTCTCTCCCCGTGTCTCTCCCCGTGTCTCCCTTCCCGTGTCTCTCCCTGTGTCTCCCCGTGTCTCTCCCTGTGTCTCTCCCCGTGTCTCCCCGTCTCTCCCCCTCTCCCCCGTGTCTCTCCCCGTGTCTCCCCGTGTCTCCCCGTGTCTCCCCCTCTCCCCCGTGTCTCTCCCCGTGTCCCCCCGTGTCTCCCCCTCTCCCCCGTGTCTCCCCGTGTCTCTCCCCCTCTCCCCGTGTCTCCCCGTGTCTCCCCGTGTCTCCCCGCGTCTCCCCCGCTCAGCGCTGGGCCTCCTGCCACGCCTGCGCACGCTGCAGGCAGCGGGCAACGCGTTGTCGTGGCTGCCGGCGTCGTCGCTCCCGGCCTCGCTCTGCCACCTGGGCCTGGACTCGAACCGACTTCTCTCCCTGCCCCGCGCGCTCTGCCGCCTCCCGGCGCTCGCCGAGGTCACCGCCGCCGACAACCGCCTGCGGTCGCTGCCCATGGGTTAGGCGCGCACCTAGCCTGGCACCGGACGACGGGGCGCGGCCGCACGCGCGTGTGCGTGTGTGTGTGTACGTGTGTGTGTATAGTGTGTGCGTGTGTGTGTGTGCGTGTGTGTATGTGTGCGTGTGTGTGCGTGTGTGTGCATAGTGTGTACGTGTGTGTGTACGTGTGTGTGCATGTGTGCGTGTGTGTGTGTGTACGTGTGTGTGCATAGTGTGTGTACGTGTGTGTGCATGTGTGCGTGTACGTGTGTGTGCATAGTGTGTGTGTGCGTGTGTGTATGTGCGCGTGTGTGTGCGTGTGTGTACGTGTGTGTGTGTGTACGTGTGTGTGCGTGTGTGTACGTGTGTGTGTGTGCGTGTGTGTGCGCATGTGTGTGCATAGTGTGTGCGTGCGTGTGTGTGCGTGTGTGTATGTGTGCGTGTGTGTGGGTGTGTGTGCAACCCCCTACCTCCTCGCGGTGCCGGACGGGCAACTCTGTCGTGGACAGTGCTGTGGGGGGAGTTCCAATTTTGATTGGCTCCTCCTCTCATGGCATATGTGTCCACCACAGGGGCTAAACGGGGGCTCTGGACGGGTGCGAGGGGCTGGTAACCCCTCCACCTTCAATTAATTACCACAAAACCACGAATTAAAGTGAAATATGTAACAACTAAGCTTGTGCCGGAGGCCCCGGGGGGCCAGGCGTCTATGACGTCTCCTGGCCAAACCCCAATTGGCGGAGCCAGGAGATTGAATACCTACCCTCGGGGCTACTCCAGAAACAACGAAAAGCCACTACGGGTGGCCACGTGGAATGTTCGAACGCTCACTGCAGAGGAGAGGCTGCCACTCCTCTGTCGGGAGCTGGACCGGTACCGCCTGGATCTATGCGGCATTCAGGAGGTCCGGTGGACCGGCTCTGGCTCCTGCCACCATGAGGGGTGGACAGTCCTCTACTCGGGGCAGCAGACTGCCAAACAACAGGGTGTGGGTCTTCTTTTGAACAAAAGAATGAAGGGGGCGTGGGAGCGTGGCGGTGAGGTGTGGGAAGCTGTAAGCCCCAGGCTACTTTGGGCTCGCCTTCCCATCAACCGGAGGCGAGGAATGGTGGTCGTGGTTACTTATGCCCCCACCGAAGATGAACATCCGTGGAGGGATGCAGGCAAAGCCGATGAGTCAGATGCCTTCTATGACCTCCTGTCACAGGTGCTGGCTAAAGTGGCCCCTCGGGATAGAGTCATCATGTTGGGTGACTTCAATGCCCGAGTTGGTCATGATACTGGCACCTGGTCTGGAGTGATTGGAGGGCATGGGCCAGATCAGCTCAATAACAATGGTAGGAGGCTGCTAGATTTTTGTGCAGCCCATGGGCTTGTAATTACCAACACGCTGTTCCGGCATCGGCGCATCCACACAACATCATGGATGCATGCCGGGTCCAAGCAAGAACATCTGCTGGACTACATAGTGACGGACCAGCGAATGCGAGCCCATGTCCTTGACACCAGGACCTACCGTGGAGCTGATCTGCCCTCTGACCATCGACTAGTCATCTGTAAGATGCGCCTGCCATTCTTCCACTCCGGTGGTGGGTGTACACCCAGGACCACATTCCAACCTAAAGTGGCCTGGTCTCAGTTATCTGATGAAAGTTGCAAGCGAGAATTTCATCATCGCTTGCGGCTGGGATTGGCATCGTCCCCGACTCCTCCTGATGTCGAGGGTAAATGGGCGAGGTTTAGGACTGTGACTCATGCAGCTGCAATGGCTGCTTTGGGTACGCGGTCCAGACCTCCCCAGACACCCTGGATGACAGAGGAGTTGTTCAGGATGGTTGAGAAAAAGCGACAGGCCCACTGTCATCGGCTACAGAATCCCACGTCAGAGAATGAGGAGGCTTACCGCAGCCTTCGCTCGGAGGTTCGGAGAGCCGTGAGGCGCTGCAAGGATGGGTGGTGGTCGCGGGTTGCTGAGGAGATGGAGTCTGCCTCAGTGGCCCGTGATCACAAATCGCTATTTAACTCCATCAAAAAAGTAACCTGCAGCGCCACACCTATTACCATCATTAGGGGAAAAAACGGTGATCCAATTTCCGACCCCCAGGAACAGGTTCGCAGATTTGCTGAGCATTTCTGTGAGGTCCTGGGGGAGGGAAAATCCCACAGCCAGGAAAACATCGTGGCACAAAGTGAGGATGACCCTGCTGAGGCTGCGGTGCCTCAAATATTGGATGAAGTCACCCCCTGTGAGTGGCTGGCTGAGGTGCCATCTGCTGAGGAAGTATTGAAGGCGATCCGGAGTCTGAGACCAGGAAAGGCAGCGGGCAGAGATGATCTCCCAAGCGAATGCTGAGGGAGGGTGGCGTTTGTGCACAGACTGCCCTATATGACATCATAACAACAGTCTGGACCACTGGACGGGTTCCGCAGGATTGGAAGGATGCCCTGGTGGTCCCCCTTTTTAAGAAGGGGGACCGCACAGACTGTAACAACTACAGGGGCATCTCACTCCTCAGTGTGCCGGGAAAGGTCCTGGCAAGGATTATTCAGCATCGCCTTGCCAGGCACGCTGAGGAGAGGCTTGCGGAGCCCCAATGCGGTTTCAGGAAAGGGCGGTCCTGCACAGATGCCATATTTTCTGTCCGTCTGCTACAGCAGAGGTGTAGGGAATTCCAACAAGACCTACATCTCTGCTTTATTGACCTGGTCAAGGCCTATGATACCATCAGTAGGCCTGGGCTCTGGGTCGTTCTTCGTGCTTTTGGAGTACCTGACCCTCTGCTCACGATCATTAAGGACCTTCATGATGGTGAGCGGGCCCGGGTAAAACTACGTGGCCGGGAGTCAGAGCCATTCCCTGTACACCTTGGGGTGCGACAGGGATGTCCTCTGGCTCCCACATTATTTAACATCTATTTTGACCACGTAGTTCGTGAAGCCTTCAATAGCTGTACCGGGGGAATCTCCATATGGTACAGATATAATGGGAGGCTAATCGATGCCCGGGTGCGGTCAAGGGATGGCTCCCTATTGCTCAACCACGTTATGTATGCTGATGACTTGGTAATAGCTGCTCAGTCAGAGGAGGAGTTGCAGACGCTGCTGCTGAGACTGGAGCGTGCCACTAAGAGGTGGGGCCTTACCATCAGCCCCACCAAAACTAAGCACCTGCCTGGGTATTTTGTACCATCGGACACTCCACCCCCACAACTCCCAATCGGTGATGGGGCAGTTGTGGAGAGAGTGGAGAGTTTCCCATACCTGGGCAGTGTGCTTATGACTGGCTCCAGTTTAACAGCAGAGGTCTCACTCCGAATCAGTCGAGCGGCAATATCTTTTCATCGGTTGCGTAACGCTGTGTGGAAGCTACCTGGTCTGTCGCTCCGCACTAAGCTTCAGGTCTTCTCGGCCACGGTCATTCCCTCCCTTCTCTACGCTTGCGAAACGTGGACCCCCCTAATGGAACATCTTCGCCGGTTAGAAACATTTAGGCTGACCTGCCTACGATCCATCCTGGGTTTAACCAGACTGGATTGTGTGAGGAGCTCACAAATCCTTGAAAGATCTGGGCAGGGTCCCATCGGTGAGCTCCTCCGGCAGGCAAGGCTGCGATGGCTGGGTCATGTAGCCCGCATGCCCAGCCACCGCATGCCGAAACAGCTTTTGTTTGGCCGGATTGAGGGGGCTAAGCGGGCGCGGCACGGGCTAGAGAAGAGATGGAGTGATGTGGTACAGGAGGACGTGGAGCTGAGTGGACTTGCCGATGACTGGTACCAGCGGTGTCAAGATCGGCCTCTGTGGAGGAGGCTCGTGAAGGATGCTACTGGGCAGTTGGAGGCAGTCGCCCTCCAACAACAACGGAGGGCGGAGGAGCGACGCTCACAACAGCGAGCGGAGCGCCGGGTGGCTAAAGCACAGCAGGTTGGCACAGTAGGGGGCACAGGTGGTGCATCAGCCAGTCATCTCAGTCAGTCGACCCGTGGCACCTGGGTCTGCCCCGTGACCTCCTGCCAGCGGGCGTTCGACACTTCACGTGGCCTCAGGGTGCACATAGCCTGGCACAAGCGTCGTGGTGACGTCACCGCCACTTAGTGGCGAATGGCGGTTGTTGTTGTTGTTGTTGTTGCATAGTGTGTGTGTGCGTGTGCGCGTGTGTGTGTGTGCGTGTGTGTGTGTGCGTGTGTGTGTGCATAGTGTGTGCGTGTGTGTGTGTGCGTGTGTGTGCGCGTGTGTGCGTGTGTGCGCGTGTGTGTGCGTGTGTGTGCGCGTGTGTGTGTGCGTGTGTGTGTGTGTAACTAATAAGCTTGTGCCGGAGGCCCCGGGGGGACAGGCGTCTATGACGTCTCCTGGCCAAACCCCAATTGGCGGAGCCAGGAGATTGAATCTCTACCCTCGGGGCTCCTCCAGAAACAACGAAAAGCCACTTCGTGTGGCCACGTGGAATGTTCGAACGCTCACTGCGGAGGAGAGGCTGCCACTCCTCTGTCGGGAGCTGGACCGGTACCGCCTGGATCTTTGTGGCATTCAGGAGGTCCGGTGGACCGGTTCTGGCTCCTGCCACCATGAGGGGTGGACAGTCCTCTACTCGGGGCAGCAGACTGTCAAACAACAGGGTGTGGCTGTGAGGTGTGGGAAGCTGTAAGCCCCAGGTTACTTTGGGCTCACCTTCCCATCAACCGGAGGCGAGGAGTGGTGGTCGTGGTTACTTATGCCCCCACCGAAGAAGAACATCCGTGGAGGGATGCAGGCAAAGCCGATGAGCCAGATGCCTTCTATGACCTCCTGTCACAGGTGCTGGCTAAAGTGGCCCCTAGGGATAGTCATCTTGTTGGGTGACTTCAATGCCCGAGTTGGTCATGATGCTGGCACCTGGTCTGGAGTGATTGGAGGGCATGGGCCAGATCAGCTCAATAACAACGGTAGGAGGCTGCTAGATTTTTGTGCAGCCCATGGGCTTGTAATTACCAACACGCTGTTCCGGCATCGGCGCATCCACACAACATCATGGATGCATGCCAGGTCCAAGCAAGAACATCTGCTGGACTATATAGTGACGGACCAGCGGATGCGAGCCCATGTCCTTGACACCAGGACCTACCGTGGAGCTGATCTGCCCTCTGACCATCGACTAGTCATCTGTAAGATGCGCCTGCCATTCTTCCACTCCGGTGGTGGGTGTACACCCAGGACCTCATTCCAACCTAAAGTGGCCTGGTCTCAGTTATCTGATGAAAGCTGCAAGCGAGAATTTCATCATCGCTTGCGGCTGGGATTGGCATCGTCCCCCACTCCTCCTGATGTCGAGGGTAAATGGGCGAGGTTTAGGACTGTGACTCATGCAGCTGCAATGGCTGCTTTGGATACACGGTCCAGACATCCCCAGAGCCCCTGGCTGACAGAGGAGGTGTTCAGGATGGTTGAGAAAAAGCGACAGGCCCACTGTCATCGGCTACAGAATCCCACGTCAGAAAATGAGGCTTACCGCAGCCTTTGCTCGGAGGTTCGGATTGCCGTGAGGTGCTTCAAGGATGGGTGGTGGTTGCGGGTTGCTGAGGAGATGGAGTCTGCCTCAGTGGCCCGCGATCACAAATCTCTATTTAACTCCATCAAAAAAGTAACCTGCAGCGCCCCACCTATTACCATCATTGGGGGAAAAAACGGTGATCCAATCTCCGACCCCCAGGAACAGGTTTGCAGATTTGCTGAGCATTTCTGTGAGGTCCTGGGGGAGGGAAAATCCCTCAGCCAGGAAAACATCGTGGCACAAAGTGAGGATGACCCTGCTGAGGCTGCGGTGCCTCAAATATTGGAAGAAGTCACCCCCTGTGAGTGGCTGGCTAAAGTGCCATCTGTTGAGGAAGTACTGAAGGGATCCGGAGTCTGAGACCAGGAAAGGCAGGGGGCGGAGATGATCTCCCAAGCGAAATGCTGAGGGAGGGTGGCGTTTGTGCACAGACTGCCCTATATGACATCATAACAACAGTCTGGACCACTGGACGGGTTCCGCAGGATTGGAAGGATGCCCTGGTGGTCCCCCTTTTTAAGAAGGGGGACCGCACAGACTGTAACAACTACAGGGGCATCTCACTCCTCAGTGTGCCGGGAAAGGTCCTGGCAAGGATTATTCAACATCGCCTTGCCAGGCACGGTGAGGAGAGGCTTGCGGAGCCCCAATGCGGTTTCAGGAAAGGGCGGTCCTGCACAGATGCCATATTTTCTGTCCGTCTGCGACAGGTGTAGGGAATTCCAGCAAGACCTACATCTCTGCTTTATTGACCTGGTCAAGGCCTATGATACCATCAGTTGGCCTGGGCTCTGGGTTGTTCTTCGTGCTTTTGGAGTACCTGACCCTCTGCTCACGATCATTAAGGACTTTCATGATGGTGAGCGGGCCTGGGTAAAACTACGTGGCTGGGAGTCAGAGCCATTCCCTTTACACCTTGGGGTGCGACAGGGATGTCCTCTGGCTCCCACATTATTTAACATCTATTTTGACCACGTAGTTCGTGAAGCCATCAATAGCTGTACCGGGGGAATCTCCATATGGTACAGATATAATGGGAGGCTGATCGATGCCCGGGTGCGGTCAATGGATGGCTCCCTATTGCTCAACCACGTTATCTATGCCGATGATTTGGTAATAGCTGCTCATTCAGAGGAGGAGTTGGAGACGCTGCTGCTGAGACTGGAGCGTGCCACTAAGAGATGGGGCCTTACCATCAGCCCCACCAAAACTAAGCACCTGCCTGGGTATTTTGTACCATTGGACACTCCACCCCCACAACTCGGTGATGGAGCAGTTGTGGAGAGAGTGGAGAGTTTCCCATACCTGGGCAGTGTGCTTATGACCGGCTACAGTTTAACAGCAGAGGTCTCACTCCGAATGAGTCGAGCGGCAATATCTTTTCATCGGTTGCGTAATGCTGTGTGGAAGCTACCTGGTCTGTCGCTCCGCACTAAGCTTCAGGTCTTCTCGGCCACGGTCATTCCCTCTCTTCTATACACTTGCGAAACGTGGACCCCCTTAATGGAGCATCTTCGCCGGTTAGAAACATTTAGGCTGGCCTGCCTACGATCCATCCTGGGTTTAACCAGACTGCATTGTGTGAGGAGCTCACAAATTCTTGAAAGATCTGGGCAAGGTCCCATCGGTGAGCTCCTCCGGCGGGCAAGGCTGCGATGGCTGGGTCATGTAGCACGCATGCCCAGCCACCGCATGCCGAAACAGCTTTTGTTCGGCCGGATTGAGGGGGCTAAACGGGCGCGGCATGGGCTAGAGAAGAGATGGAGTGACGTGGTACAGGAGGACGTGGAGCTGAGTGGACTTGCCGATGACCGGTACCAGCGGTGTCAAGATCGGCCTCTGTGGAGGAGGCTCGTGAAGGATGCTACTGGGCAGTTGGAGGCAGTCGCCCTCCAACAACAACGGAGGGTGGAGGAGCGACGCTCACAACAACGAGCGGAGCGCCGGGTGGCTAAAGCACAGCAGGTTGGCACAGTAGGGGGCACAGGTGGTGCATCAGCCAGTCATCTCAGTCATCTCAGTCATACTTGATTAGGTGCTTTCGTGACTGCAGGAATTATTCTTAGTTTTTTTCGGTAAAGTCACGTAGAAATAATAAAAAATAAAATTATATAATAGCATATGACGTTTCGATTGCAACACATGCAATCATCATCAGGTACAGAATTAACACAGACACATCTCTGTGTCCCCTGATGTGTCTGTGTTAATTCTGTACCTGATGATGATTGCTTGTGTTGCAATCGAAACGTCGTATGCTATTATATAATTTTATTTTTTATTATTTCTACGTGACTTTACCGAAAAAACTAAAGAGTCATCTCAGTCATCTCAGTCAGTCGACCCGTGGCACCTGGGTCTGTCCCGTGACCTCCTGCCAGCGGGCGTTTGACACTTCACGTGGCCTCAGGGTGCACCTAGCCTGGCACAAGCGTCGTGGTGACGTCACCACCACTTAGTGGCGGATGGCGGTTGTTGTTGTTGTTGTGTGTCTGTGCGTGTTTGTGCGTGCGTGAGTCAAAGGCGGTCAGGCATGGTGCTGGCCACCCACCCCCTCGTGTGCCGTACTGCACTTGCCCCCTACAGTCTGTTAAAGCTACATGGGGGATCTTTGTCTTTGTAGATCTGGGCCGCTCTGGGAAACTGCAGCTGCTGTTTGTGGATGAGAACCCAAATCTCTCACTCCTGCCCTGCTGGCTACACAACCTCACCCTGGGATGTGTGGGGTAAGCGTGCACTCACCCACTCACCCACTCACCCACTCACTCACCCACTCACCCACTCACTCACCCACTCACCCAATCACTCACTCACTCACCCAATCACTCACTCACTCACCCACTCACTCACCCAATCACTCACTCACTCACCCACTCACTCACCCACTCACTCACCCACTCACCCACTCACTCACCCACTCACTCACCCACTCACCCACTCACTCACCCACTCACTCACCCACTCACTCACTCACTCACCAACACACTCACTCACTCACTCACCCACTCACTCACCCACTCACTCACCCACTCACCCACTCACTCACTCACTCACCCACTCGCCAACACACTCACTCACCCACTCACCCACTCACTCACCCACTCACACTCACTCACCCACTCACTCACCCACTCACACTCACTCACTCACTCACCCACTCACTCACTCACTCACTCACCCACTCACTCACTCACTCACCCATCCACTCACCCACTCACCCACTCACTCACCCACTCACCCACTCACTCAACCACTCACCCACTCACTCACCCACTCACTCACTCACTCACTCACCCACTCACCCACCCACTCACTCACTCACTCACTCACCCACTCACTCACTCACTCACCCATCCACTCACCCACTCACCCACTCACTCACCCACTCACTCACTCACTCACCCACTCACCCACCCACTCACTCACCCACTCACCCACTCACTCACCCACTCACCCACTCACTCACTCACCCACTCACCCACTCACTCACCCACTCACCCACTCACCCACTCACTCACCCACTCACCAACTCACCCACTCACTCACTCACCCACTCACCCACTCACTCACTCACTCACCCACCCACCCGCTCACCCACCCACCCGCTCACTCACCCGCTCACCCACCCACCCACTCACTCACCCACTCACTCACCCATCCACCCACTCCCTCCCTCACCAACCCACTCACTTAATCACCCACTCACCCGCTTTCTCAGCCACTCACCAACTCAATCACCCGCTCACCAACCCACCCACCCTTTCTACCCCTATCACTATGTACATGGTTGTCAACTGCACCTAGCCTGGCACAGACTGCCCCGTCCAGCCCACACAGGCGCTGACAGCTCTTGCCCCTGGAGGCCGCGTGGGCTACACGGGGGACCTTTGCCTGTGTCTGTGTCTCAGGTGCGGCACGGAGGTTGGCCTGGTGAAAGAGGTCACCCTGGGCTCACCGGGTCTCCCGGACGAGATCAGGTGAGCGACTCGCTCACCTCCACACTCGCCCACTCACCTATACACCCACTCACCTACTCACCTACTCACCCACTCACCTACTCACCCACTCACCTACTCACCCACTCACTTACTCACCTATACACCCACTCACCTACTCACCTACTCACCTACTCACCTACTCACCCACTCACTTACTCACCTATACACCTACTCACCTACTCACCTACTCACCCACTCACCTACTCACCTATACACCCACTCACCTACTTACCTATACACCCACTCACCTACTCACCTATACACCCACTCACCTACTCACCTACTCGCCCACTCACCCACTCACCTACTCACCTATACACCCACTCACCTACTTACCTATACACCCACTCACCTACTCACCTATACACCCACTCACCCACTCACCCATTCACCTACTCACCTATACACTCACCTATTCACCCACTCACCTACTCACCTACTCAGCCACTCACCCACTCACCTACTCACCTATACACCTACTCACCTACTCACCTACTCATCTACTCACCCACTCACCTACTCACCTATACACCTACTCACCTACTCACCTACTCGCCCACTCACCCACTCACCTACTCACCTATACACCCACTCACCTACTCACCTATACACCCACTCACCTACTCACCCACTCACCCACTCACCTACTCACCTATACACTCACCTATACACCCACTCACCTACTCACCTACTCACCCACTCACCCACTCCCCTACTCACCTATACACCTACTCACCTAGTCACCTACTCACCTACTCACCCACTCACCCACTCACCCACTCACCTACTCACCTATACACCTACTCACCTATACACCTACTCACCCACTCATCTACTCACCTACTCACCTGTACACCCACTCACCTACTCACCTGTACACCCACTCACCTACTCACCTATACACTCACTCACCCACTCACCTATACACCTACTCACCTATACACCCACTCACCTACTCACCTATAGACCCACTCACCTACTCACCTAATCACCCACTCACCTACTCACCTACTCACCTGTACACCCACTCACCTCACCCACTCACCTATATGCCCACTCACCTACTCACCCACTCACCTATACACCCACTCACCCACTCACCTATACACCCACTCACCTACTCACTTACTCACCCACTCACCTACTCACCTACCCACCTATACACCCACTCACCTATACTCCCACTCACCTACTCACCTACTCACCTATACACCCACTCACCTATACACCCACTCACCTATACACCCACTCTCCCACTCACCTACTCACCTACTCACCTATACACCTACTCACCTATACACCTACTCACCTACTCACCTGTACACCCACTCACCTATACACCCACTCTCCCACTCACCTACTCACCTACTCACCTATACACCTACTCACCTACTCACCTACTCACCCACTCACCTACTCACCTATACACCTACTCACCTACTCACCTACTCGCCCACTCACCCACTCACCTACTCACCTATACACCCACTCACCTACTCACCTATACACCCACTCACCTACTCACCCACTCACCCACTCACCTACTCACCTATACACTCACCTATACACCCACTCACCTACTCACCTACTCACCCACTCACCCACTCCCCTACTCACCTATACACCTACTCACCTACTCACCTACTCACCCACTCACCTACTCACCTATACACCTACTCACCTATACACCTACTCACCCACTCATCTACTCACCTACTCACCTGTACACCCACTCACCTACTCACCTGTACACCCACTCACCTACTCACCTATACACTCACTCACCCACTCACCTATACACCTACTCACCTATACACCCACTCACCTACTCACCTATACACCCACTCACCTACTCACCTAATCACCCACTCACCTACTCACCTACTCACCTGTACACCCACTCACCTCACCCACTCACCTATACGCCCACTCACCTACTCACCCACTCACCTATACACCCACTCACCCACTCACCTATACACCCACTCACCTACTCACTTACTCACCCACTCACCTACTCACCTACCCACCTATACACCCACTCACCTATACTCCCACTCACCTACTCACCTACTCACCTATACACCCACTCACCTATACACCCACTCACCTATACACTCACTCTCCCACTCACCTACTCACCTACTCACCTATACACCTACTCACCTATACACCTACTCACCTACTCACCTGTACACCCACTCACCTATACACCCACTCTCCCACTCACCTACTCACCTACTCACCTATACACCTACTCACCTACTCACCTACTCACCCTCTCACCTACTCACCTATACACCTACTCACCTACTCACCTACTCGCCCACTCACCCACTCACCTACTCACCTATACACCCACTCACCTACTCACCTATACACCCACTCACCTACTCACCCACTCACCTACTCACCTATACACTCACCTATACACCCACTCACCTACTCACCCACTCACCCACTCCCCTACTCACCTATACACCTACTCACCTACTCACCTACTCACCCACTCACCCACTCACCTACTCACCTATACACCTACTCACCTATACACCTACTCACCCACTCATCTACTCACCTACTCACCTGTACACCCACTCACCTACTCACCTGTACACCCACTCACCTACTCACCTATACACTCACTCACCCACTCACCTATACACCTACTCACCTATACACCCACTCACCTACTCACCTATACACCCACTCACCTACTCACCTAATCACCCACTCACCTACTCACCTACTCACCTGTACACCCACTCACCTCACCCACTCACCTATACGCCCACTCACCTACTCACCCACTCACATATACACCCACTCACCCACTCACCTATACACCCACTCACCTACTCACTTACTCACCCACTCACCTACTGACCTACCCACCTATACACCCACTCACCTATACTCCCACTCACCTACTCACCTACTCACCTATACACCCACTCACCTATACACCCACTCACCTATACACCCACTCTCCCACTCACCTACTCACCTACTCACCTATACACCTACTCACCTATACACCTACTCACCTACTCACCTGTACACCCACTCACCTATACACCCACTCTCCCACTCACCTACTCACCTACTCACCTATACACCTACTCACCTACTCACCTACTCACCCAGTCACCTATACACCTACTCACCTACTCGCCCACTCACCCACTCACCTACTCACCTATACACCCACTCACCTACTCACCTATACACCCACTCACCTACTCACCCACTCACCCACTCACCTACTCACCTATACACTCACCTATACACCCACTCACCTACTCACCTACTCACCCACTCACCCACTCCCCTACTCACCTATACACCTACTCACCTACTCACCTACTCACCCACTCACCCACTCACCTACTCACCTATACACCTACTCACCAATACACCTACTCACCCACTCATCTACTCACCTACTCACCTGTACACCCACTCACCTACTCACCTGTACACCCACTCACCTACTCACCTATACACTCACTCACCCACTCACCTATACACCTACTCACCTATACACCCACTCACCTACTCACCTATACACCCACTCACCTACTCACCTAATCACCCACTCACCTACTCACCTACTCACCTGTACACCCACTCACCTCACCCACTCACCTATACGCCCACTCACCTACTCACCCACTCACCTATACACCCACTCACCCACTCACCTATACACCCACTCACCTACTCACTTACTCACCCACTCACCTACTCACCTACCCACCTATACACCCACTCACCTATACTCCCACTCACCTACTCACCTATACACCCACTCACCTATACACCCACTCACCTATACACCCACTCTCCCACTCACCTACTCACCTACTCACCTATACACC